GTTTGCATGATAATATAAACTAGCTAGTGCCATGCTTGAAAATAATTACGGCACTCAGCACAGTCTGGCCTTTCTTCCTTGCCCTTGGATTGTCTCTGGTAATTTTTTTTAACTGGGCCAATCAGTGAACAGCAGGATAAGTTGAGAACGATAACGTGGATTTTCTGCACCGTTTCAGAATTCTAGTCTGTCTGTACTTTTAGCAATGGCAGCTGATGAAGTGAACGAAGTTGTTCAGTCTATGTCCACATAGTTAATTAACATTAACTGCAGTCTCATTTGGATCTGCCCTTCTCTCTTGGCAGTGGAGGACAGTTGTTGACAGTGCAAGTAATTTACAGTAAGCTTCCTAGCGTTTACCTCGTGCATTACATCACGGGCAAACATTAGCAGTTGGGTAAAATTTAAAAGCTAAACACAGACCATGCCTTCAGGAAGCAATCGTTTATCAATAATAGTCAGGAAACTCCGCATGCAGGAGATAGCATAGCAGGCTAATACTAATCAGACTCATCTTTGTTTTTACAGGAAGCGGTTCGCCGTCTTCACAATGCGGAAACGAACAACAGTCGTTACGAGCCCCAACAGGGGTGAGATTTTATTCCTTTTTGTTCACATTTAATGTCGCAAACTCTTGAAATACTCACATCTCTCGTTTTCACAGAATGAGCTCTGCGCACAACCATGCAGTTACCACAAGCCTAGTCCAATCCCTGAGGGCATATCCGGATTTTCAGCGAGTGGAGAGCGGCGTCCTCATTTGTAAGGAATTCACTTTGATATTGATATGTTTCTCTCTATGCAATTTTGACACATACTTACTTTCATTCCAGCTTCTTGCAAGACTTATTTTGAGACAATAAGAAGAAACTTTAGGTACCAGCAGCCACACCTTGCACACAAGGCCGCTTCACAGAAGAACTCCTCCAAGAGTCGGGCAAGAAGGAAGAGAGTAAGTTCCACAAATTTTATTGAATTTTAGCAATTTGTGACCAATCTATGGAAGAAAAGTAGGACCACTGGGAAAAAAAACTCCCCAGAATTCTCAGAAATTTTGATGTTACTCTCAGAAGAAACTGAAACAAAATGACCTCCAAGAATGTAAAAAAAAAAAAAAGGAAGTTGATCAGAGGAGTATGGAAGACAATTGGGGTCAAAAAAGAGACATAATTTGGATTATTTTTCTTAGTAAATTTGGACATAAATATCAGAAGTACAAAGGAAGATTAGGGCCTCTGACAAAAATTCAGACTTTTTTTTGTGGATGTTAATCTAAGAATTATGGAAGAGAGTTAGGGTTACTAAAATGAGAAGATTCTGACGTTTTTCCCAAAAGGAAATTTGGAAGTTTCTTACATTGTCCCTAATGTTCCCCCGTACATGTCAGATATTTCGATGAAACCTGATCTTCTGTCTGTTACAGTTACTGTTGGCCAGGCAGAGCGTGCTGAAAGCGGAGGAGCTGGAGCTCTGGCGTGGCGTCACGACGGAGCTGATGTCTGACGAGGAGGACGGCGAGTTGGACGGCACGTTTGGATGGATTGTGCGTCGTCCCTCGTTTCGTAGCAAGGAACTCAGCGACCTTTGCACGACTCTTCAAAGCAGACTGGATTCCTCTCGGAAGAACAACGCCACATATCACCAGCGGCTGCGCTTTGGACCCGACTCTGACAGACCGCCGCCCAGCAACTACAGCGCCGAGGCGGCGAAGAGACACTTCAAACCGGAGGCCTTGCCCGTAATTCTAGAATAACTACCAGAACTTTGTGGGTTCTGGGCCAACATAAAAACATTTGGTACATGTTGTAATGTGTAATCTGGAAGAAGATTAGGACCACAGAAAAAACTTAATTCTGATTTTTTTTTTTATTATTCTCAGATTTGTTTTGTTCCTAGTTATTTTTATTTTTTCAGATTTTTTACTACTTTCTGATTTCTGACTTTTAGATTTCTAATTCTTTTTTCATATTTCAGATTTTTTGTTTTTAGTATTTTGATCATTTTTCTCAGATTTCAGAATTTTCTTCAGATATGACTTTTTTGCCCTTAATTTCAGGGGGTCAGTGGGTTAAGATCTGTGACTTTTTTTCTTTTGTTTCTAACTTATTCTAGAATTTCTAACTTTTATGTTTCTAACTTTATTCTCAGATTTCTAAATAGTTTTTTTTTTCAGATTTAAGTGTTTTCAGATATCTAACTTTTTTCAGATTTTATTTATTAATTTTCTGAGATTAACATTTTTGTTTTGTCCTTGAAGTTATTTCATACATAAAGTCAGAATTGCCCCCTGCTTTCATGATATATGATTGTAGCATGAACATTTCCATAAATCTGGTTTATTTGTTGCAGGGAAAATGTTTGCAGCTCTTATTTGCACTCGTTTATAAATTGCATTCAATTTGTACACAAAATCATTTAGACACTTTGAAAATTTATTGAGTCTTTGATTAAACAAAGATGTTCCTGAATGCCTTGTGTTCTTTTTTTGGATGCAGCAGAATAAAGGGGATGGTTTCCTTTCAGTGCTTCTGAGATGTGCAATCAGTTATAATAATACTAGGACACATTTGGCTCAATTGACATTCCTGAATTATGAGTTGCACATTAATAAACAATGGTTCAGGCATTCATATGGACATATTTCTTATATACAGTCTTTATGTACAATACATGTACAACAGCTTTCTCTCTGCACATAAACCAACTGGGATCTGTTTGAGATTTATACCGAAACATAAACCGATAACTCTTGGTTCTGATTTTAAAACTGAAAATGCTCTAAAAGATTAATGGTTCTGCTGCTAAATGGGTTCCTCTCCATTTCCACTGAAACTGGGTCAGCTCCCAGTTTCAGTTCAGCTGAGACAAACGTTAAAATGTTTATAAAACAGCATTTAAAACCCATCTGGATAAAACGGTATGAAGCTTCTTTTTCCAAACATGAAAGTAAAGCTGAATGCTCAGCATAAAATAAACCCATTTTTTACAGTGAGAATTGTTGGAACAATGAACATAGCGCCACCATCTGTCACAGTGGCTAAATGAGCTACTGCAGCAAACAAAGCCAAATTATCGGATTATTTTATTCGCTTCAGAAACATAAAATTTTAGGTTTTTCACTAGAATCTAGTTAAAATTAGATACATTTTACTGGATGATAAATTATTGCAATAAATGATAATTTTGTTTTGTCACAATTTTCAAATATTGACAAGCATTGATAATGGCATAATTTTCTAAAGAACTTAACACTGGAACTTGAAGATACACTGCAAAAACACAAAATATTACAAGTATTTTTGCTCTAGTTGTTGCTGCAAATATCTTAGTACATTTGAAATAAGTCAAAACTAAATTACAAGTAACTTTAAGATATAGGAGCTTGCTTAAATCAGTAATTCTTAAATATTGATGAAAATGTTCTACTTCCACTGCCAGATTATTTCAAATTAACGGGCCTGTGCCATTACCTAGCAACCACAGCCAAACTAAGGCCCGTTACCTAGCAACCAAATTCTGGTTCCACTGGCAGATTATTTCACTATGTTGAACATGTCTTGTCATGACTGAAATAATCTAGCACATTTTTAAAATAAAAATTTGCAAGAAGATACAAGACCTCAGAAAATTTCTAGAAAAGAGCAAGGAAATTTCAGAGTTTGTAAAGACAAAAATTTGCCACAAGAAACTGAGAAACGTCAATCATTCTTGAATATTAATAAAGAAGTCTAGTTCAACTGGCAGATTATTTCACCTATAACTTTGGAAAAATGTTATAAGAGTAAAAAAATCCAGTGGATTTAGTTTGTTTTTAAAATAAATGTTAAAGAACTATTGGCTTAAAACAAGCTCCTATATCTTGCTGGAAAGTTCCTTCCAAGTTAGTTTTATCTTAATTCAAATGTACTAAGATGTTTACATTAGAAACTAGACCTTAAATACTTGATAAGATTTTGTGTTTTTGCCGTGTAAGAAAACTTCAATAAAAAACATCCAGTTTGTGGTTGGAAGGTCACAAATTTCCTAACCATCAGAACCAACATTTTGTTGAGTATCTGAACTGATTCTTTATTTGGTTGAATTCAGTTCAGTTTATTTTCCGTCAGCATCTGCAGATCATTTCCTCATTGTCTCCGGCGTCGGTGCTGATTTCCTTCTCCTCCTCTTCCTGTGCGTTCAGAGCGTCCTTCCCACCTGTACTCTCTACTTCCTGGTCCATCCAGCAGTCTGCAGGTGGTTCTGGTTCTGGTGTCGACTCCCTCTCACCGTCCATCTCTGGTTCTACTGATGACATCCCATCATCGTCGGTCATCATGCTCTCTGAGAATAAACCAACATCTTCCAGATTCACATCTTCTGTCTTTGCCAAAGTTTTGTTTTTGATTCCTGAAACTTCGCTCGAATCGGTCGGTTCTCCTGGTTCTGGTTCTGTACGCCGTTCCGTCTGAGGAGTCTGCTCTCCCGCCGCCTCCGTGGCCTGCCGGATGCAGTTGATCCACTGCTGCTTGTTGAAGGCGTCGCTCGCCTGGAAGCAGTGCGTCTGCAGCTGGCTTCCTGACCGGCACGAAACCCGGAAGAAGTTCTTGGCTGAGAGGAGAAGAAAGTTAGTTTTAATGATAAATTATTTTTAAAATATCTGGGGGAAAAAATCATCCAACACTCGAGAACAGGAGTGTAACTGGCTCTTTAGCTAAAAAAACATACAAATTTGGAGAACTACACTGCAAAAACACAAAATACTACCATGTGCAAATATTTTATAACACTTGAAATGAGACAAAACTAACTTACAAGTAACTTTTCAGCAAGAAATAGGAGATGTTTAAGACAATAATTGTTGAAAAATCATTAAAAAGTGCTAGCTCCACTGGCAGATTATTTAACTTATAACATGCAAAAAATGTTACAAGTGAAATAATCTGCCATTGGAACTAGTACTTTAAAAAAATCAATATTAAGGAATTATTTATTTAAAGCAAGCTCTGATATTGAGCTGAAAAGTTACTTATAAGTTAGTTTTGTCTTATTTCATTTGTAGAAAGATGTATTCGCTAGAAACTAGAACAAAATACAATTTTTTGCAGTGAATCCAGTGACCACACTGTAAAAACACAAAATCTTACCAATTGTTTATGGTCTAGTTTCAAGTGCAAACATCTTAGTACATATGAATTAAGGGGGAAAATGACTTAGAAGTAATTTTTCAGCAAGACGTAGAAGCTTGTTTAAAGTCAATAATTTCTTAATCCATTCATCCATCCATTTTCTATACACCCTTGTCCCTTAGTGGGGTCAGGAGTAATACCTTAATATTTATTTTAAATAAAGTTCAGGTTCTACTGGAAGATTATTTCACTTATCTAATATGGAAAAATATTAGAAGTGAAATAATCAACCGGTGGATCTAGAACTGGGTTGCTAGGTAACAGGCTGGGCTGGACTGGGGTTGCTAGGTAACGGGCTGGACTGGCATTGCTTGGTAACGTGGCAGTGCCTGTTGATTGTGAAATAATCTGCCAGTGGAACTAGCATTTTTCATCAGTATTGAAGAATTGTTGATTTAAACAAGTTTCCATTTCTTGATCAAAAGTTACTTTTAATTTCATTTTGTCTTATTTCTCTTTTCAGCTAATCGCTGTAACTTTTGTCACTGACTTCGCTCGTTGTTGCTGAAGGCCCCTCTGATGGACCCGCCCACTCTCATCTCGCCGTCCGATACGTCCTCCAGGTCCAGCTGGCGGATGGGGATTGGCTGGCGGCAGAGCTGGTAGCTAACCGGCTGGCTGTTCAGCGAAACCGACCGGGTGATCACCAAAATGTCCTGGAACAGAAACACGTGGAGCTTCTGCAAAACCACATAAAAATGATGAAAGTTTGGTGAGAAACTATCAAAACAATAAAAGTGGATGAGAATAACTCTGGAGAGACACTAACGATTCCTCTGTTGTTCTTCAGCTCTCCGTGGCAGCTGAGCGTCTTGGATCGGTCGATCAGTTCGTGCCGCCGTCCTTCATCTGAGTAAAGCAGACGGTCCTTATAGTGCTGACACTCCGACTCTCCGGTCCGCCTGTTGATGTCCGCCACCACGCTCTGCACCATCAGCATCTGTTGGGCCAGAGACGAGCTAATTATGCTGCCTTCAGATTGCAAACAAAACTGGGAAATTATGACTTCCGGGTCGGAAAAATCAAAGTTAATCAAACTGGGAGGAACTCAGAATACCTTTAGTTTAAACTTTTAAGGCTGACTTCACGTTTCAATATGGCCGCAGCAGTAAGCTGTGGTGGAAATGTGTTTTTTTTTACAAAACACACACTTAAAAGTGAGTCTAAAATCAATGCTACATGTAGCACCTGAAACTCTTAACGGAACAAACTGAAAGTGGTGTTTTCAGGACGCCATGTTAGGACCGGTGTAGATCGAGGGAAAAAAAATTAAGAGTAAATTTCCGCAAAAGTACAAAATCAAAGCCAGCTTGATTTAAAAAAAATTCTACAAAAAAACTCTGAAATTTCTGAGTTTGAAAAGTAAAAAAATTGTAAGGAAAAACTAGCAAAATGTTTGCGTTCAGTCTAAACAAGTGCAACCAGCAGTCATCAGGGTTGGGTTTCCTCACCGCTTCCTCCAGGTGCTGCCGGTCCAGGTGGTCGTTGGGTGTGTGCTTCAGGATCTCTCTGAGCAGCAGCGGGTACTTCACCAGCCGGCTGCGAGGGATGTCCAGGAAGTTCCACAGGTCCAACTTCCTGCTGAACGGAGACTGCAGGCAGCGCTGCAAGAAGTCCTGGACCCGCCGGTCCTGCTTCTTCTGGTCCAGCAGGGCCTTGGCCTGAACCTGGTTGCTGCAGTACGGCGTATAGGAGGAGAGACACGGCAGCTGCAGGGACACCAGCACATCGCCATGAGGTATCCCGCCCAGCTTATAACGCTGATAAGATGAGACAGAGAAACGCTCACCCAGCCGGTCAGGATGTGTCCGACATTTTCTGTGGTTCCGTCGGGTTTTCTGGCGTCTCGTAGCCGACTCAGCAAGTCTGAGAAAAGTCACAAATTGTTGCTACACTGCAAAAACACAAACTCTTACCAAAGAATTTTGGTCTAAAAAAAAAAAGAAAAAGATTTTTGGTCTAAATTCAAGTGTAAATATCCTATTTCACTTGAAAAAATACAAAACCAACTGAAAAGTAACATTTCAGCAATAAATACGAGCTTGTTTTAAGTAAACCCTCTGTAATTTAAATGAAAAAGTTCTAGTTCGACTGGCAACTACAACTTTGAGTTTAGCTTACAAACTAAATACTTAGCTTGCTAACTAAATACTTAGTTAGCAATCTAAATATACAGCTCTGAGCTAGCTAAATATTTAGCTTACAAATTAAATATCTTGATAGCTAGATATTTTTGTTTGAAGCTACATATTTTGGAAGTTAAATATTTAATTTAAAAATAAATACTATGTTTTTTTAACTAAAACATTTTTAATAAATTTGTATCTGGCTAACTAAACATTTAGTTAGCAAGCCAGATATTTAGTTTACAAATTAAATATTTTGCTTGCTAACAAAATAGTTTCAAGCTGAATATTTAATTGGTTAACTAAATATTTAGCTTTAAGACAAATATTTACTTGGCAAGCAAAATTGCTAATTGAAAACAAAATGTTTAGATTGTAAATTAAATATTTACCCTAAAAGCTAAATATTGAGTTGGAAACTCTGCCATTTATAAATGAATGAATTTGAATGAATGACATGGTGAAAATATGACTTTAATCAATGAACCACCATTTTTTTCCTTTCTTACAACTTAATAGTCCAAATTTTTGCTAATTTTGACTGCGTAAATTTACTAATGGCACCCCACAGGAACTGACGTCAAATTAATGTTTAAATGTTTTATTTGGCCTTTATCAGAAAGCTGGTCTCACCTTCATGCAGAGGTATGAGTGAGTCCAGAGTACCGAAGATCTGGTTCAGTTCCTGCTCAGTCATGATGGACAGCTTCAGCATCGGGTCGTGGTACGCCTGCAAATTAATTAATGTAAATACCAGAAAGACAGCAAAACAACCAACAACCAAGCTGCTGTTTACCTTTTTGGCCAACTTTAGGTCTTCCACCAAGTCCTGTTCTCCTTGAGCCAACTCAAAAATGGCCTGTAGGAAGACGGTTATGTTGAATAAAAATCACAAGAGACTGAACATTATTCACTTACACTGCAAAAACACAAAATCTTACCAAGAATTTTAGGTCTACTTTCTAGAGCAAATATCTTAGTACAGTTGAAATGAGACAAAATTAATTTACAAGTAACTTTTCAGCTTGAAATAGGGGCTTGTTTTAAATTAATTATCCCTAATATTTATATTCCACTGGCGGATTATTTCACTTAAAACATGGAAAATGACTTTTTATCAGTGAAATTATCTGCCAAAGGAACTAATATTTTAAAAATCAATATTAAATAATTATTGACTTAAAACAAACTTGTATATTTTGCTGAAAAGTTACTTGAAGGATAGTTTTCTTATTTAAAGTGAACTATTTATACAATAAACTATAAAAATACTGTTGTGTTTTTCCAGTGTGAAAACATAAATCTGATGATCATTTCTGAGTAGAGAAAAACAACCTCTTGTCTTTTTATCTCCTTTGGACTCAGAGTCGCTCCGACTCGGATGTCGAACGTCTCACTCCACAGCTTGCTGTCGCGGCGCTTGGAGGTGGGGCCTGTTGCCGTGGAAACCCGCGTCATGGTCATGCAGGACGGAGGGCTGGAGACGGTCGCGGAAACGACACGCGTCGTCATCGTGGACGAGGAAGAGGAGGAAGGAGGAGGAAGAGGCGGAGGATTTGGAAGAGTTGAAGCTCGACTCTCGTTACGGAAACTGACGGAGCGCTGCAGGCACAGAAACTTTTAAATAAACATTAAGTTATATATTTTTTATCTTAAATTATTTGAGTCTTTTTCTCTCTGCCTGACTTTAACTTAAACTAAACTTTCCCTGTTTTATGTTTGTTTAGATTGACAAAATTTGCCCTATTTGCTGACTTACAGGAATTGACTTTTCCTGCTGGCTGAACGGCCACTCAGTAAGGAGGAAGTCATTAATCCAAAAGCAACATAAAAGGCCAGATTTGCATCACTGTAATCCCAAATTAGTAATCAATACTAAAACCACACAGTGATTGCCCTTCGATGTCAAGCTTATAAAAATATATATATATATATATATATATATATATATATTTCTGTTTAAAGTCATGTCTAAGAAAATCCATTACAAAAGAACTCAAGGTTTAATCTCAGCCATTATTCAGGTTTATCAGTATTTATTACTCATGTTTATTAGAATTATGTCATCAGTTTTTAATGCACTTTAAACATGTTCAGTTAAAGATTTCTTTAACCATGTTAAAGATTTCCAACATTAATATAAAACAAGCCCTGCGACAGACTGACGACCTGCCCAGGTGACCCCGCCTCTGCCAGGAACGTTCGCTGGGCAGGCAGCAGCACCTACCGACCCCACTATGGATGGATGGATGGATATAAAACAATAAGCAGGAAGTTATTTGTGAGTCCAGAAAGGAAACCCAGATTCTGGCGGGTCGGCAGTTTTCCCACAACTTCACCTTCAATCCATTTTATTTGACTGGATATTTAAAATGTCGTCCAGTTCCAGTGGTAAATGTACATGAGAATTAAAAGTTTATTGATCTTTGAGAATGGGTTCTTACCACTACTGACAGATTATTTGAAATATTATTTATCACAATAACTTCCAGGACAATTTATCGCTCAGAAACATTTATTGTTATTCTGTAGCAGAAAGCTACAGCAACATTTTCAGTGAAAAGTGGGAACATCTGCTGGCGGTTTACCTGCAGAGTTTGGCCGATCCTCTTCAGCGAAGTGGCTTTAACCGGAGGCAGCAGGCTCGCCAGCGCCGCCACCCTGGGAACAGGTTTGCTGCGCTTGGTGCCCGACTCCTGGAGGAAAAATGAAAAACTTTGCCATTAATCGTCAGAGTTCCTGATTTCATTGCTTTAAGAGAAATCAGCCCTGAGCAGCATTCCTGCACAGCAAACAGGCAAGACTCAGAAAAAGACAAAGATGTTCAGCTGTTTGGCTGAATTTAAAAAATGCTCTACGACTATAAACCTCTGTCCAAAGTGCTTATTTTGTTATTTCTGTTATTTATTATGGATATTTAAAATCTCTTCCAGTTCCAGGTTTAAATGTCCAAAAACAACTTTAATTATTCATTTCTAATCCAAACAACAGACACAAGAGATGACAGGTAAAAACTAGAAAAAAAACAGACATATAAAAGGTCATAAATATTAAAAATATTTAGAATAAATAAACGAAAGAAAGAAACAGATCAGATTATAAGAGAGGATAGACACTGGTCCATAAGACAGAGATGAATAATTTCTTACTTAAAATGTTTGGAGGAAAACTTGCTTCCAATTCAAATACTTTACAAATAATCTCGACAAATTAAAAAAGACAAAAAATAGACACAAAAGAGCAGCATAGATAGCATGAATTAGAGCTAAATAACATGGAAATAGATGAAAACTACAGTGAGTAGATGATAGAAGTAGATTTGAAAGGATGTATTTAGAGAGCAAAACATTTGATAATTTAGAGAAGAGAAACACAAAAACTAGAAAATAAAGTTTGTTAGATTTTGGGTCAGATAAGAATAAAACCAACATGCCACTCAGTGAGCAGATCTAATGTAAACTAGAGATAAATATATGTTGTTTATCATTGGTGTGAAGCTTTAATTAACAATAAAAAGTGAAAATATCTTTGGATTTCTGTGTGATTTCCACCACAGAGGTTGCCTGGAGGAACGTCTTACCTCCTCCTGTTTCCCCATGTTGTGGTTCTGAGAGGAAAACCCAGAGGTCAGCAGGTGTCCCAGCACAGAACCGGGCCTCTGACCTGCCACCATGCTGATGACCCCGGACTTCAACAGGTACCGTTAAAGCGCCACCGAATCATCACCCAGAGGCCGAAGGAACCCAGAACATCTGAGGACCCAGGAAAAGCTCCTACTGATCCTGCAGCTCTTTAAAGTTCACAGAATAAAACTGGAGGTCTGTTCTGTTCAGACCGTCCAGGAAAAATGTCCGAACACGCCGTGAATCCTGAGATCGTCTGCTCCTCTGTCCAACCCCTGTCAGAGACAACGGGTCGCCCCTCCCTCACTGACGCTCCTACGCTCTGGTTCTGCTCCACTTACTCAGCTCTGGCCCGCTCTGATTTCCTTCCTTCCATTCTTATTCTTCCTCCTAATTTCTAATGCATTTAGCAACATTCTGCTCCACATGAAGTTTAACTGTTTATTTTGCTCTTTTTCGTCCAAACTGTGGAAACATTTATAAACATATTCTGTTGTTGATGTCAACAACAAACAGCCAGAGACTAACCCTAAAGCAATCTTTCTCAAACTGTGGTGGTCTGCAAGATGCTGCATGACCTTTAATTTGCTGTGTACAGCTAGCTTACCAAGGGAGTGTGTTAAAAATAATAAAATAATAAGTAGGTTAAGACCAGGTCACTCACAAGAAAAGCTGGTGGAAAGAAAGCAATGCCAGGAATACTTATATAATTGTAAAAAGTAATTTCTGCAGGAATGTTTTTTTGTTTCTCTGAGTGAGTTGCTGAACTTTTGTTTTTAGAACACAAGTAGAAACATAACATGCCACCAGAAAACCGATCTACGTCTGCCAGGCTGCTGAGTGTGATATAACAGTGACCAGGCTGTGAGGAGCGCTGCGCCCCACGCTGACTAACTGCATCCTAACATCCAAAATAAAACAATTATTTACATCGGGCTAAAAGGAAAGTTTTGTTTCTGCCAAAGCAACTCAAGTCTTTTTCTCTTTTATCATCCTCCTAAACAGCATGAAAATGTTGCTAAAGCACACACTTGTTTTAAAGAACTACTGCTTTTTAGATTTCCATGTCTTCCATCATTGAAATCCACATTTTCAGAATCTGTAAATAACCCAACATAAATCCAATCTAAACATTTTGTTTGCAAACTAAGTATTTCGTTAGCAAGTTAAATATGTATCTTTCAATTAGCTCCAGATAAAATATTTAGGTAATAGGCTACGATCTTAGCCTACCTCCTAAATTGGCTAGCTAAATATTTATTTTGAAGCTAAATATTGAGTTAGCAAGCTGAATATTACATTTGCTGACACATTATTTAGTTTCAAAATAAGCTAACCTATTTAGCTCCAAGATAAATATTTACAATTTAGCTCTGATCTAAATGTTTAGTTTGTCAGCTAAATATTTAGCGTTACAAAGGGCACCCCATAAGTTACAACTGAGGGTTTATACTGGTTTCCATTGCCAGACAACATAGGCGACTGTAGCTCTGAATGCCACATTAATAGACATTTATCTAAATAAATATTCATCTAAATAAACTTTTATTTAAATATATTTATTAATGTCAGTATTTTTGTCAGTATGACCTCAATTCTCAAGTCATTAGAGCTGATAGTAGAGCTGGTACTGGAGCTACTGGTTGTACTGGAAACCCCAGTCCGCTCATTAAAAGGGATGTGAGCCTGTAGGCGGCCGAAACTGTGTCCTGCTTTTGTCCAGCAGTTTCCAGATCGATAACTATGTTTGTTGTTGGCGTTATTAGTTATTTGGTGAGAACATGAACTTGAGGTGCTTTCCATTTGTAGACAGAAGCATTTCCTAACTTTACATTTATTTCCATAACTTAATCCCACATTTTGGTCCCAACATTATCAAACCAGAGATTCTTAAGAAATTCCCAAACTGCAAAGCAGCGCTCATGTTTAGTTATAGATGGAAAACCTGATGCTCTATTTACAAGTAAACAAAAATAAATGGATAAAGAGAGAGTCCAGAAAAGGTTAACTTAGGATAAAAAATGAACTGCTTAGAAGGCTTTTTAAAAATAAATAAATTTTGTTAAACTGTGACTATTATTGGAGTCAACAGCGAACTCTGACACTTCATGGTCACTAAACAAAAGCAGCAGCTCCACCTCTGACTCAGCTCTATTGTCTAAACAAAGCGACTCGTCTGCAGACGTTTCAGACAGACCCGCCTTGTTCTTGCAGATTTTACGACCAAACAGCTGGAAAGAAGCAACTGAAATGTTGAGCTTTACAACTGTGCAATAAAAATGTGTTTGGAAGGGAAATAAGAGTGTCACTGCCTTTTATTTAATATTTCTTCTGTCAGTGTGATCTTAGGTCACTGAACAACATCGATCGCTGAGCATCTATAACGTTGGCCTGAGGGATTCAATTAACCAGTAGGACATGAAATCAATGGCGGCTCTGGATCCAAACAGAAACTTCACAGTAAACACAAAACTCATTATGATCACAATTTGTTCTGAATTTGCACTAAAAAAAAAAGTCAAATTGAATTTAACTGAATTAAATTATTGTTATAAGCATAAATAAATCAGTGCTATAAAAATAAATTGTTTTATCATTATAGATATTTGTAACTTTGAATTATTGTTTTAAAAATAGACTTAAATGTAATTATTAATATAATAATTTGTTCTAATTTTGATTTAGTGCTATCCAAGTAAATTAATTGTCGTGATCTGTGTTTCTGTGTGTTTATTTTTGAGTTCTTCTGTGT